ATATATATATATATATATATATATTAGAGTATTTCTGTTGTAAATGTAACTAAAATAACGTCCTGCTCTTTAGTTAAATTTACTTCATTTCAACATGTGATTTTGTAATTTTGTGACAACACAAAGTACTACATACAGGGAAGAAAAATGGTTATCTAAATAAAATGAGAAAATATATAATGTCCACTTCTGTTCATCCACCTTTACTTTGATACCCCTAAATAAAATTCAGTGCAACCCAGTATCTTTAGAACCTCCAAAATGGTAAATGATGTCCGTCTGTGCTAATTCAATCACTGTGTAAATAAATGCAGCAGTTCTGTGAAAGCCTCATAGGTTTGTTAGTGAACATTAGACAACAAACAATTTGGAAACCATGGAGGAGGTTGTGGAAAAGTTTGAGCCAGATTTAGTGTTTCAAGCAGTCTCATAAGCTCTGGGCAGCTAACTGACCCACAGTTCAGTAATGTCCCATCTGAACTTCAGGGTTCCTCATTGATTCATTCTAGTTCCACTTCTTTTCCACTCTTAACACAACACTTATGCAACATAACACCGCCTTTCACTGCTTTGCGGATGTTATCCAAATGTATTTATCTATTCTAGCCACACTGCTCTTCAGCCCCTACAGATGCGCCTCACAGATGTTCAAATATGCCTAATAATCTGAACGAAAGCAAAACTGAAATCATCTTATTTGGAAAACCCAGCCTTCTAAATGACTACAGTATCACTGGTCTATGAGATTCACACTGTCATCTATAGGAGCCCATCTGACTTGATGCTTCTCTATGACAGAAAATCTCAAAGAAATAGAGGTTTGTGACTACAATGTGACATTAAAAAAAAAGAAGTTAAACAGGCATAAATACTTTAGCAAGGCAACTCCATAATAACCCAAAGCAAAGAGGAAAAAAAACAACATTTTATCAGCATCTGTGCAACAACAACAACAACAATGCTCACGAGATCTTTACAGGAACAAAAACTAACTCCAAACAACATGAACATTTAGGGGGGAAAAGCTACAAGTGGTAATAGTTTCACTTTACACATCTGTGTATTACATGAACTCAACAGTGGAAAGAGTTACGATAGCTAAGTGACAAGCTAACTTTATTAGTCAGAGCAACACTTTCACGCTCCTCTGCTGCTAAAAACGTCACCTCACATGCCAAGATCAGCATGGAGGAGGCAACTCATCTCTGAAAGTGTTTGGTGATGGTGAGGACAGTTTTTGTGTGTTAGTGAGTGGGTGTGTGTGTGTGTGTGTGAGAGAGAGAGAGAGAGAGAAACACAGAGAGAGGGAGCTCTCCTGGGTATAGCATTGCTGCTGCAGCTCTGCACCAAAGAGATAAGACCACCGCCTTCACAGAAGCCCGTTTCTTGGGAATTTGAAGGCTGCCATCAAAGTCCAGTGGTGACACAAGACGCCATCCGGGTTACGACCGGCTCAAACCGTTCCCCCCTCCAACTGTCCTGTACTTCACACTATAGTGTCACTTCAGAGCGCAAGCAGGAAACACTGACATCTGATGGGCCACGCTGCACATGTGCCACTCTCACTGTGAGTCCAACTTGCACAGCACGACCAGGCCGAGGCTGCAGGGTCCTGTGGGCCTGCGGCTGCGCTGCTTGTAATTCCCAGCCTCCTCCTCTGTTCATCTTGATAAGTGCTTATCAGGGCGTCGCAGGCCGCCGCGTCCCTGCCCAGCTGTCCACGCTTGCGGCGCAGACTTCAGCGCCGTCACTCCTCCTCATAACAGCCACGTAAGCCGATGTGCTCAGAGAAGCAGCTCGGCTCAGTCCCATTTCATCTTGACACATCGGTCCTTAGTGGGAAAGCAGACCAAATCGAGTCGGTAAATAAGGAAGACTTCTATAGAAGACACTTTGCCTATCGAGCCTACCCAGCATGCATCTCATCCTACCTGCAAGCTCTGAAAATGCTAATTTTGGACAATAATTTGAATAATCTGGACAAGCAACATCTCGATTAGGCAAGCACGCAGGCAATTAAGAAAGTTCTCATCCTCCCATGTTTAACATCTTTCAAGTGGAAATGTTTAAAAAGTACCAACTTTTTAAGTCTTTCAGGCAAAAAAGTCTAAAAGACTTAGACTGTTTTGGTTTCTTTCATTTTCCTCAGATAAAAATAAAGGAGGAAAATAAAATTGTTCTACTGTGTCGTGGTTGAAGGATGTAGCTTAACTACAGGTTCCATTTCTGCTCAAAAGTCAACATTTTCAAGTTACAAGTTAGACAAATAAACAGGAAGGTCTGAGATTTCTCACCAGCGATCATAGCTGCTGCAATAAATTATTTACCCCTCACAACGATTGTGTTCCTGCATCAGTGGTAATATGAATACCTATCAGCATTTGCTTTTGGTTCTTCAGTTTAGACTTTGGGCTCTTAAAATATTCTCTACTGCAAGTTCTAAGATGGATGAATAAACAGGAAGGCTGAGATTTCACCACGTGTTTAAGCTAGCGATAGCTGCTACAATAAATGATTATTTAGCCCTCATGCCGGTTGTATCTCTTTTATTATGTCACAGAGTCAGTACTGTAAAACCTTTGATTGATTTGTTTGTTTAGGGTTAAATACAGGAAATGCAACAGAGTCTGTTATTAGCCTGCATTGCTAACAGTTAGCTTGTGACTGAGCGCAGCAGTTTGCATTTCTTAATGTTTTCTTTCTTTTTTTAAGTGAAACAGAATAAAGTTGGATTTAATGTTATTCTTACATGAGAAGGTACCAGACTTGGGTTCTTATTCTTCATAATCTTTATTGCGCTCCTTACACATAAAACATGTGTATATCGAGGCCATATGGATTTGAATTAGCTTCCAATAGGCTTCCTGTTTGGTTGACTAAATACAAACCTCATGAGCAACACCGGCTGGCGACCCTCTGTGGGCAGCACATGCAGGACCTGTGACATAAATGCTCAAAAATCATTAACTAGCTGGACAACAGAAACCACACAGTGATAAAGTGTCAAACAGACAAAGGCAGAAAGCTGGGGAACAGTTTCAGCATTTGATGATGCGGTGTAATTTGCCTGATGACAACTGCTCAAAGTTTTTGACAATGTCTAGAAGTCTGTCCTTACAAAGCTCTGAAACAGATCCTGGATTAAGGATAGGGACTGTCCAATGATATTATGATATTTCCAGGATTGTTTTACATTGTCTCACCCAATGTAAGACAAATTAGCCACCGTCTTGCATTGGGTAACATTTTTGACCCAAATCACATATGTACAGGCTCTTTTATCAGGTTCTTTTCCATGTTACCTTGGGGTCATCAGTAACCTGTGTGCCATCCATTTTGTGCTCATTTTCCAGGTCGATTCTTATCCAAACAGGCCCTATACATAAATGCTGGTTTCCTGATCAACTAGTCTTTTAGTCTGTATATTCTCTGTGGCTTAATAGCTCTACGTCACAGTAATTACCTGTGTATTTACCTTGTAAATGGTTAAAACCAACTTTTTCTAGCAGTAAAAAGGGCACCCCTTATAACAGGGGTGCCCAAATTCAGTCCTCAAGGGCCGGCATCCTGCATGTTTTAGTTCTCTCCCTGGTGGTAGTAACAACCTTTTCAGCATGTCAATGTTCTTGTTAGGCCTTCTAGCGAGCAATCATTGGATCCAGGTGTGTTAAAACAGAGAGAGAACTTAAACATGCAGGATGCCGGCCTTCTAGGACCGACTTTGGACAAGTACAACCAGCTGTTGTACTTTTATTTTGGCGTTACGCCTCGCTTTATGTTGGCGATATTTTTACTTTGTTAGTAAAATGAATAAACATTTAGGTTCCAACTCTATTAAATCCAATCAAGGCTTCCACAAAAAAAGCAAGTACTTCACCTGAGCGTCCTGTTTAAAAGGTAAAGTCGGCCCAGTTCCAGTTTGCCAATCATCCGTTTCATAAAAAGTCTGCCAAGGTTGACCTCGCCGACCTTTGCTATTCTCCTCCGTTTATTTCTGTTGGCTTCATGGCGAGTGTTTCCTACTTGAACAATTGTTCCCAGGAATGGAAAATTCACAGAGATGGCTGAGCTAATTAAACACTTTTTCACCCCGCAGCTGCCAAGACCCCATGTTTTTATTTGCACCTGGGCTAACTGATGCAGGTTATCAGGAATCAATCCTCCATAACCGCTGTGGTTTCTTAAAAGGCTGGGAAAAAGATCAGCCTTCATCTCATTTCTGCCTAACTGTTTTTCTCCCCTGATTTCCCTGAAAACTGTAAATGAACAAAGAGAGAGGAAATTTGGGGAGCTGTTTTGACTACCAAATGACCAGGCACAGTGTCGGGCTTGTGCGCCGCCAGGCCGTGTCCAGACCATATCTCTCCTGTATGATTGCTGCTCTTTACCCGATTTGCATTACTGCGCTTCCACTCCAAGCTTTGCCGGACCACAAAGAAATTGCGTCTTTGCATTTTTCCCTCCGCTTTGTTCAAATGCCTCTCAAGCTCTTTTTCCATGTGGGCTCGCTCTTATCTGGGGCCGTATGCACATTTCATCAACAGACACTAAAAAGGACAAGAGAAGAAAAGGAGGGCCTCTCCATGGCGCATGTGCTCCCTGAAGGGCCCTGGAGATGGCCTGCTCCTCGACGCGTCTGAGTCCCACACCTAAATAAACCCCGTCTCATCCTGCGTTTCCGTCCATCACCTGGAGCGGCTTGATAACAGCCGTGGTTTGGCGCTTTTTTTTTTATTCGTGGTGGAAATCATCCGAGATACACGGCCGTTATCAATGTGACGCAAGCAGCACGCAGGGACATAAAGGAAGAGCAGAGGAACTAAGATTTAAAACGGCCTTCCAGGGCCACAAACCCACTGTCGATATTTGTATTTCGTAAATAAATGACACGGTCAAATGTGATTTTTTTCTCTCTCTCTCCATCTCTCTCTGTCATAGCTGTAAATATGTAACATCTGCCATCTTGCAGGCTCTTTCTCTGTGGACCAGAGAGGTGTGTCTTGTCAAAAAAAAAAAGTTGTCTCCAACCCCTCCCACGGACTGTCTTGCAAGCCCTAAACTTTGCTGCTGGTTGAAGAAGTTGCTCTTGTAGCCATCAGCCTGCGGCGAGACAGTCAGTCAGTCAGTCAGTCAGACAGTCGACTTGAACTGGACCTCTTTCCACTGGGTTGTAAAAATTCTGCGAGCATCCACTCTGGTAGGTGACCATTTCATCTCATGTTGGACTGATGTTCTTGAGTTGTCTCTCGTTAATTGTTTTGCTCTTTTTTATTATTATTATTATTATTATTAAAAGAAATATTTGAAAAATTCAGCCGTTTCTGATTGGCCACTTTTGGCATCACAGTTAAAGTTTATTTTGAGGCAGAAACTTTTTAATGAAACTGTAAGTATTGGCGTTTCCACTTAATTAAAGCAATATACTTTATAGATTTTTTTAAAAAAATGTTTTCCTCCATATTGGTTCTAAATCAAGTTAGGAAAAATAGCTCAAATAATTTGATCAAAACAACCAAAAAAAAAAAAAACATTTTAAGCACTTAATGCTCAGTTTAGGATGAGTTGTGTGTTTGTAACTATGAAGTTTAAATGTATTCATGTGAAACTTCTTCCTGCTTTTGACCTTGAGATGTCTTCACACTTTTGCTTTCAGATTTCTATTAATCAGATCAGATTTTTCTTTTCGACCTGCATGTTTCTGACTTTATCATCGCAGATGGACACAGTCAGGATTATAATAACAGGGCTGTATCAGATTTTCTCAGACTTTATCTCTCGCTATCAGCCACTTCTCTTCCCTCTTCTCTTTCCTGTAAAGATCCTAAGCGAGATTGACACTTGACTTTTACCATGACTGTGATATTTCTTACTTTAACCACTTTTTTATATTCTTGAAGATAAATGTTTTTGGGAAGATTTTCTGTCATTCTCTAAGGTGTTCTGTTTATGAAAAGAAGAAAAGAAAAGAACAGAACCTTTTTTTTCCTGTGTTTTTCGTTTTTCATCCCCTCGGGCATTTCTTCAGCCTACCTCCAACCGGCACACCTATTATGTTTTAAGGCCACCTAGTAACCGTTCGGTCACTGGCTGCATCACTACTTTTAAAGTGCCGGTTATTTTTAGTTGTTACTTTCAGCCACAGTCAAATGAGGATCCTAGAAAAGGAAGTTTGAAAAAGCCTGCTGTCGAGAGATCTCGTCCCTGATAACTTCAAGTTGCACTTGTTTGTTGTGTTAGCGAACGTCGGGGCTCGGTGATGACGCCTTATCTGCCTCGATCAGAGTCGCCTGCGCTGGCAGAGCGGCGTGTTGGGACGAGTGATGGATCTGTGCTTTTATTTCAGGGTGAAAGTGATCATGGAGGATTCGTCAGACCAGTCCCACTGGGCATCTCCCACCCTGCTCAGCTCCGACCCCCTCGCCGGCTTCCCCTCCGACCCGAGCCTGTTGACCACCGGGGAAGAAGGAGAGGCCTTCTTCTCAGCCCCAGACGCCGATTACGCCGGGCTGTCCTTGTTCTTCCCCAACCCGAGCCACAGCCGAGCAGCATCCAGCTACAGACACAGCTCCGGTGAGCACCAGAAATCCCTCTCCGTCCTCTGAACCAGGGGGTGTCCAAACAGTTTTCCCCACGGGCAAATACAAAAAATTATTTTGGTATAGGTGCTTGTTACTTACCCAGCAATAAATTACATAAAGTGAAGAAAACGTCTCAGACATTTGTCTTTATTAAAGAAATGCTAACATTTATCGGGAGGGACGTGAATAAGACATAAACCTGGAGTCTTCATGGATGTTCATGACAGAGGTCAAGTGTCATTTGGTAAAGAATGACACTTTAAAAATGGCAACTTTTTAATGCAAAGAAGTTGCTTTACACTTTTTTGTTCAACACAAAAACAAAATGGTTTTTGCATTGAACAATACAGGTTGCATTCCTGCATTGTTTGATATTTAGTTAATCTACTGAAGTTAATATTAACTTAATTTATATCGTTTAACATTAATTGAATTCAGTATATTAATATTTACTGAATAGGATTTAATTCAGCAAATTAATGTTTAATTTACTGGATTAAATAATAATTTAATTTAGTAAATTAATACTAAACATTCTTTCAGTAGATTAATATAATTCACTGAATTATAAGATTAATCATTATTCAGTGTATAATAATGACATTTACTGAATAATATTATTATTCAGTAAGTAGCGACACTGTTTACTGAATTACTCATAACGACATTCATTCACATTCATCAAGACTTCATGTCATGTTCATGACAGTTTAATGTCAGTCAAATAAAGTGTTGCCAAAGAAATATGTTCAGTTTACTAAATCTTTCGGGCCTGACATTTTTATTTTTTGGGTTATTAAAATATTTTAATCTATTCCTAGCAACAAAAAATAAGAAGTTCCTTTAAAAGTCTCGCTGTGTTAAGCCAAGTAAATGAGTGTTCAAGTCTGTTTTGGAGTAAACAGTCCCTTTGTGTTTTCTCTCCTATTTACCATGATATAAAAAAAAATATGGCTGATGAAAGAAAAAAAAACACTTTGGGTTAATATTTTTCCTTTGAGATGTAAATTTGTAAATGAAATCCTCATCCTAAAATACCAATCCATCTGAAAAAACAAAACAGGAGATTCAACTCAAAAGAAATTTAGTTCATTTGTTACAAGTAATCAACTTAAGTAAATATATTAAGTTTATTATGTTGTCATGTTAAATGTAAATAAAGTAAGTTTGACAAACTTAATTTGATTAATTGTAACAAATGAACAATTTTTTTTAAGCTGGAGCTCCATTCTTTTTCAGTAAAGTCTAATTCACAATTTGCTCTCACATGAACTCTTTTAACAGGCCGCTGATCTGAAACCCAGACTTGATGATTTCATTGCTGTTTCTCTGTGTGGTCTAAAGTCCGGCAGGTGTACACCTCCCCAGGCCTCCTCAGTAACCTCCAGCTCCTGGACGGGCCCCCGAGCCACCCGCTGAGCTCGCCCTACAGCCCCGCGGCCTCCACCTGGAGCGGCAGCCAACTCACCAAGACGCCGCTGCACTCACACACCCCGACCTCCCTCTACTCCCCCGGGATGGCCTCCTCCTTCACCGCCTCCAGGGATGCGTACCCTTCCCCGGGAAGAGAGGGCAGGGAGAGCCCCCGGCTCCAGGAGGCCCTCAAAGCGGAGCGTCTCAGCCCCCTGGGCGGCTCGGGAGCCAGCAGCAACTTCCTCAACCTGACCCCCGCCGCCGGGAGCATGTACACCCCCTCGTCCCACTCGCACCCCCACATGCTGAGCCCCTACAGCTCGTACATGAGCGGGCCGCAGGACTACAGCTCGCCAGCCCTATACTCGAGCGCCGGAGCCTGGATCAGCCCGTCCTACTCCCCGAAGCTCCGCAACAAGCTGAGGCCGACCACTCCAGGTGAGACTCGGCACAGAAAACTGACTACATATGTATATATTGTTTGTAAGCCTAAGTTTCTGTTAATTTTGATGATTTCTCCCTTTCACTTAATGAAAATGCGACATTTAAAGGTAAAATATTGCATCAAACCAATAAAATGAAAAAGTTTAGCACAGAATAGTGAGTTTATTGAAGTAAGTATGTTTAATACCTGCTTAGCGGTTGTCAATTTTCTCCGGGTTGCTGCCCCCCTCTTGGCCACCTCTTAGGAACACCACTGTTGGATTGGTATAAAAACTTCCTTGAGTAAAAATATCACAGCTTTATATTTATACCAAAATTTGAAACAGAATGTTAAACTCAATGAAAGACAACAATTATTTTAGATTTTTGAAGAAAATAGTTATTTCAGTTAAAACAATGTTAATTCATTATTTTTAATATGATTTTAATACACAAATTTAAACACATATATATAAATCAGGGGGGGAAGGTTTGCAACTGGAGATATTTTGTAAACAGCCTTGTCTTTTTTTTTTGTCAGTAGCACAACAAACACCTCCTTACAGCCAGCTGACTTGACATTGCACAGCAACAATTTAATTCAGTTTATTTGTGTGGTGCAAATTTCTAACAAATGTCATCTAAAAGAATTTTAAAAGACAAACAGATCTAATTCATATTCAGTTATAAAAAACATATACCTATCCAATTCAGTCATACAGAAGGATTCAAATTCACTTAAACATTTTCTAACTCGATCCTAGTTAGGATAGTAAACTTACCATTTGGTAATAAAAAAAAAAGAAGCTATTTACTTACTGACGCCAAGGTGATTGCATCAAGTTGATGGGGAAGTGTGAATGAGAGATAGGAGCCTTAATAAACTCAAATCACTCTGACACTTTCTTCGGGCTGTCAATAAAAAGACCGAAGCTGTAGGAACAGCAGGATGGAGGTTTTAGTCTCCAGGCTGTAACCTTTGCCCCGTTAGCCGCCTCGTGCAGGATTTTCTACACAATGCTAATTACAGTATAGCAAACCGATTTATACTGATAGACAAAAAGAGGTTTCAGGAAAACTCAATGAACAGAAATGTTGGAAGTCGTTTCCATTTCACGACGACTCATCAAAGCAGCTGCAGGAAGGCAACTTATCTTGACTGGAAGTTGCCAAAACTTGCAATTAAGTTTCTATCAACGCATTTATTTATTTTTTTACACACATTTTGTTCCTTTTTAACAGAGGCCCGAGAGTGTGTAAATTGCGGAGCCACCGCGACGCCCCTGTGGCGCCGGGACGGTACCGGACACTACCTGTGCAACGCCTGCGGACTGTACCACAAGATGAACGGCCAGAACCGACCTCTGATCCGGCCCAAGAAGAGACTGGTGGGACTCGCTCCTTCTCGGAGATGCTAAGCACGCCTGCTGCTGCGCAAACCTTAATTTGTCGTGTTGTGTTTTTTCTCGCGGGTGTTTCAGATCGTGAGCAAGCGCGCGGGTACCGTGTGCGCCAACTGTCACACCAGCACGACGACGCTGTGGAGGCGCAACGCCAGCGGGGAGCCTGTGTGCAACGCCTGCGGACTCTACTTCAAACTGCACAACGTGAGGCCCAGAGCCGGCCCAAGGCAGAAGCGAGTTATGCTGCTGCTTTGGGCCATTACATCAGTTTTATTATTTTTTTAATGGCAACTGTTTATTTTTATATAAGAAGATATTGTGAAGATTTTTTTTTTCAATTTTTTTGGGAAAAATTGCACACACTGAAAAAAAAAAAAAAAAAAAAACCTAAATCTTACCGAGTATTTTTGTTTAGTTTTGAGTGACTTGAGATCAGGCAAAACTAACTGACAAGTAACTTTTCTGAAAGGTGTAGAAGCTTGTTCCTTAATATGGATGAAAAATTACTTATTTTATTTGCAGAGTATTTTAATTATCACATGGAAAATTGTCTCGTTAAGTGAAATAATCTGCCAAAGGAACTCATATTTTTTTCATGAATATTAAGGAATTATTGACTTAAGCAAGCTCCTGAAATGTTACTTGTAAGCTAGTTTTGTCCTTTCTTAAGTATACTAAGATATTTGCACTAGAAACTAGACAAAAATACTTGGTAAGACTTTGTGTTTTTGCAGTGCAAAACACATAAAAAAACAAGATAAAAAACTTGTTGAATTGTTTACTGTAAGTTCACTGTTACTGTAAATTGTTGATATGTCGCATAAGCCTTTGCAATAAATTAATAATCGCGATGGACATGATCAATATCAGTAGATTATCTGATAGAATTCAATAATTTTACTGAATTCAGATCCAGAACCGCATAGCATTCTGGGGGATGTAGGCAGAGGAAAGGCTGTAGCCACTCAATCTCTCATGGCTAGCTAAGCCAGCTATGAGAGCCATAGCTAGTTGAGCCACTCAACCAGCTATGAGTGGCTCTCTCCTTGGTTACCTAGCAACAACCTGTTGAGTAACTTGTGCAGCAGCAATTTTTAAAATAAAAATTTCTGCTAAAGTCACATATTTCAGATATTTAAAACAAAAAACGAATCAATAAATATCAATATCGGCTCATATGGAATGCTAATATTGTGATACGTTTTTCAGCAATATTGTCCAACCTTACTGCCACACTTTATCACTCTCCATTTCAAAATTCAAATTAAATCAGTTAATTAAGGCAATAACTTTAATAACACGAGCATGACGTAAGTTAATTACAAATGACGCTAAAGATAGGTCACACACATAGTGTAGCGTAGGAATGATGAAGCATCTGGTGTTGAGATGTTGGCACGAGGGGCCTCCAAATAAAAATCTTTTTAGGGCCCCAGAAAGACTCGAGCCGGCCCTGTTGAGGCCCCACATGATGTCAAAGCAACATTTCCAACCCAACGCAGAATCCTGGTGGGGGACATTTGTGTCATAACTCCTCTCGTCTACTCCCCAGGTCAACCGACCGCTCACCATGAAGAAGGAAGGCATCCAGACCCGGAACCGGAAAGTCTCCAACAAGAACAAGAAGAGCAAGAAGGCCTCCATGTTGGAGCCGTACTCAGACGTGGTCCAGCCCCCTCCCCTGGACGACAACGGCGGGCCCTTTTCCCTCAGCCCTGGGACTCTGCTGACCTACAGCCACACGCCGCACCTCCTCCCCACCCCGACCCCGCTGCACCCCTCCGCTGGCCTGCCCTACGCGCACCACCTCAACTCTGGCATGGTGCCCACTCTGGTGTGACCCTGCAGAAGATGCAGCGCGCGCTTTCTCCTTCGTCTAGCGTAAGATTAGTACATAAATGATGATTTGTTTTTATTATTTTTTCCACTATTTTTTTTTTATTGCATTTGTTGTCATATTTTGGCGTGCAACGCCAGATAAAAATCACTCAACGGAGGTTGCTGCACATGTAAACACACTGATGACAGTTTTGCTCCTTTTGTAAATACAAAACAAGCGTCTGCTTTGGGTTAGATAATGTGAAGTTACTCAGGAGTTTTAATGTTCACTGCTCTCTGTTATGTATTTGCATACATGATCTAACCGCACCAAAGCTGCAGAGAGAAGAATAAAATGTTTGACTTTATAAGCTTGACTGGCAAGTGGTTTTGTTTTAGGTCATTTGAATCTGCAGCAGCTCTGTGGCCTGACCAAAGTGTTGCCTCCTGTGTGCAGGTATTGTCCTCCTCCACGCAGACATAGTGGTGCCTTTGTGAGGCCACTGATGCACTTTGAAAGTGTAATTGTACAAAGTCGCTATGCAAATACTCTCTGCCCCACACCCACCTTTTCCGCAGAAGTGACAAACACTCAACTAAAGTGCAACACTTACACCTGGTTTGATGCTTCTGCCAATTTTTGCCCGTTGAGGAACAACTGGGCGTCTGTCTTACTGACACGCATTGAATGCCATGTTTTTATGTTCAGTAACGTGTCCATTTTTATTTGCCCTGCTAGTATCCAAAGATCAGACACTTTGGTAATAAGAGGTAATATTATTGTATGAAGCTGAAAGTGCTGAGTAATGAAAGCATTTTATTGAAATAACCAGGATATTCTTGAGTCACGCTGTGTCAGTGTTCCAGTCCAGGGATTTTCTACTTCTTTCTTTCTCATTCTGATTTTCACACATTTAGCAAGTAAGCAAATATCAGCACATTCTTGCTGTGTAGACCAAATTAACACATCTGTCTTCAGCTGTTTGTTGTTTTCTGACTTCTGGGGGGGAAAAAACCTTCAAATTCCCCGAAGAAAGGCCTTAAAGACGTGGTAACCCAGGGACCCAATTTTTTGGAGGGTGGCCCAAGACTTTTTTTTCCCTCTCTTTTTTTTTTCAGTGAATACATGTTTTTCATTGTACTTTATACAAAATGTATTGGACCATATCAATTAAATTGCATTAAAATGTTGGGAATTTTATGAAAATAAACAATACTCAAGTATTTGAAAATTGAGAAGCTATAGTCATTCTTTAAGAACAACATGTATCAAGTCATGTATAGGACTACCTTGTATTATAATTTGAAATAATAGGAGATTTTTTGTCAAGTAGATGAGGCACCAAAACTGGCTCCAGCCCAGAGGGCCTCGTCCTTGTAAATCCGACCCTGGATGTGACCTTTTGAACTTCACAGCAAACATTTTTCAGGATTGTTTTGATAACTAATGTTAAGTAATTTTTGCTCCCCCAGGGACTCTGACACCTGACACTCTAAATGTGATGTTTTCCAGATCAACCTGACTACTCCCCCTTGAACAACTTTATACATTTTTATACAGCCACAAACCTGAACCTATTAATTTTTTTTTTTACTTGTGATAGGCTAAAATAAAGGGATGTATAATTGTGAAGGAGAAAGGAAAGTAAGTTGCATGTTTTCTTTCCTCTTTATCACAAATAAAATCCAAAACGTGAGTGTTGTAGAATAAATTTTATGCAGACTTCAGTCAGACTGGATGATGTGGAGTTGCTTTTCTTTCCATGGAACAGAAGGTTTTGTCAAAGTGAATGATGGTTTTGAGTCCTGACCCATCAGCTGTCTACTAGAATGTTGCTCTGACAAAGTTTTAATTTGGGCCTGTGTCACTTATTCAAATGCGTTGGATGCACCCAAAGCATCTATAGGTTTCAACAAGTTAATTTCAAGACTTTTTAATGCAACCTTGAATCAAATTTAAGACCTAAAAACTATAGAGGATGGCTAGAGGATCCTGCTGTTTTATAATCAGACAGCAAAAACTGAAATCGCTGGGCTATTGGTAGCAGCTTTGTGTTTCTGACTCTTTATAGACATAAACCCCACAGTGTCAAACATAACAGTTTTTTTTAACGAAAAACAAAAGTTGGCAACAAAAGTTATGAAACTAAACGTTTTCCAGACAATTTACGATGAATATGTACTTAGACAAAAAAGCTACCTAGATAGACTTTTTTCATCCTAGTTTTATTAGCGACAAGTTAGCGGTAGTTTCAACCATATATGCATATTTATGTCTATGGCTTAAACCACCTCAGTAATATGATTAAGGTGTCCGCAGGTATCTGAAACTTTTGCCTGACAGAAAAGACACACAAGAAAAAAGAATACATCTCAGGTCTGCAGTGATAAAATTTAGGATCTGTGATTAATGTTTTTAAGGCCAACTCTTTTTTTTTGGTCACGAATTCAAGACATTTTAAGGTCTTAATTTTAGAAACATAAATTAGAAACTTTTCAAGGATGCATTGACACCCTGTGCATCCCTGTCCTCTTAAAATGTTAATTACATACAGAATGCATGTTAACTAATAAGTGCAGTCTTATTTTCTTTTTACGTCCCAAAGACATACAATTTTATTAAAATGATTTATTTATTTATTTTTTTACAAGAAAAAACCCATGGCTACACTGTGATTGTTTCTATAGAGGAATTCTGCTCAATAAAGCAGATAAAGCTGTTTCATGTTGATCACACTTGTGGTCATGTCTCAGAAGATTAGATTAGAGTATTGAGGCAAAGTTTCTGGCTGACATTTGTGGCAGTGAAAACAAAAACAAAAATGGTTTCACATCGCCATGAAAACATCCCGCAACCTTCGAATACATGGAATTTAACAACGCCTTTTAAAGAGGCTAGTAATAAACACAGCACTGAGGCAAGCACATGTGATGTATGTTTTTTTTCTTTTATATGCTGAGCAGCAGGGCTGGGGTTGCTCAGTAAGGACTGCAAGATGACTGATAAGTTATCACTGAGGCCACAGACCCCAGAGCATCCACCTGCTGCCGGCTCCGCCACTCTCATCCTCCCTGTCAGTTAGTCAGCCAGGGCCTCTCTGGGTTGCTTTATATGTGACAAACACAAACACACACATCGCGGTAATTGTCCGTGAAAAAAGGCTATGGCTATCAAAAAGTTTGGTGGGGGTTTTTCTTTTTTTTTTCTTTATAACCGATCAAAATCTGGTGTGATTGGATTCTGTCAGCTCTCATAATCTGTGTGGCTGAACGTTTGCTTCATGCCTCACTGCAGGCGTCAAGGAGAAATAATACTTTCATTTATGCATTTGGTTTCATCTTGTTGAACACAGATCAGTGAACATCTGGCAACACCATCCACCCATACACCCCCACACATGATTGCGTGGCAATCTTTATGGGGACTTTCCATTGACTTCCATTAATTTCTACAGACTAAACCTTACCTTACCCTTACCATATTCCTAACCCTTACCCTAAACAAAACTCAATTCACACCTTAGTCCTAAATCTGACCCCTGACCCAAAAGCAGCGTTTTCCCTTGGGGACCAGGCTTCGGTTCCCACAAGGAGCAGTGGGTCCCCACAACGTAGTATGTGTCAGAACGGTCCCCACAAGGTATTACAAACAAACACACACACGCACACACACACACACACACACACAGACCACACTCTTCGCCAAGAAAGTTGTAATAACTTTTTTTTTGTTTGTTGTTTCAGAGCTGGCAAATGCCAGTCAACCGTTACAAACCTTCATTCTCCGTGGAGACAGGAATCATGTTGCATAAAGTTAGATAACCTTGTCAGTCTCGTGATTATTTTTATGTTATTTCCTCTAAAACCACCCTGAGGCATAGACACCTGGAAGGACTACCTTACAGGAAATATACTACACAGTTAATAATGATAATGATAAAAAAGAAAAAAATATACTAATAAAAATCACAAGGAAACAACTGAAAGGGGGGGGGGGGAGGGAAGGGGACGAGATGTGAAGAAAAAGTCACATCCATAATTTATATCCTTTCCTCAACTGTCTCTATCTGCTGTTTATCTGCAGCAGCTGTCGGCCCTGCTCTGGGGAAATGGCAGCAAATGACAGGGATAGATTAGCAACCACAGGCCCGCTCCAGTTCACTCACAGAACCATCCGTTAGTGGCGAAAAGCTTCTCTCTCCTGCTGCTGCTGTATACGACGCTTTAATTTCCAGAGCAGACTGGGAGGACCTGCAGAGATGTCTTTATTCTGGCTGTGACTATTCGGTTAAAAGTTGTGTTTTCTATAAAACTTCAATTGATAGCCAAATATGCTGTCAGTGACTCTAAGTTGGCTTTTTGTAGGTGTGAATTAATTTTAATAAATTCCGACAGAATACGATGTAAAACAAAAGTTGGTTCATCTATGGTGAAAAATTGCATTTCGATAAACACCAGCGGGATAGCGTATAAAGAATGTGGCGCTCAGACCGCGTGGTGCGCTGGCGCCCTCTGGCGGCTCATGTGCAACACTACTCCCGACAACTGAAGCTCAACGGACCACAAAGTCAAAGCAGGCGCTTTGTAAAAGTATTCAAACCACTAATTTCTTTCACAACTTGTATTCAAAGTATCTTATTTGGTGTTTATCCAACACAAACAAGCACACGAAAAGAAAATGGAAGAAAAAAAATCTTGATTTTTAAAATTTACAAATACAAATCTGGAAAGTATGGCATGCATTCCCTCTGCTGCATCCAAACATTCAGAGTTAAAAACACCTCAACTGTAGCTCAAATAGTCACTTTTAAACTTGTCATATTTATATTTACTGTGTGTTTATGTCAAATTAACAGAAAGCTGACTTATCTCACTGTAACCAAATCTACACAATGACATATACAGGTCCTTCTCAAAAAATTAGCATATTGTGATAAAGTTCATTATTTTCCATAATGTAATGATAAAAATTAAACTGTCATATTTTAGATTCATTGCGCACCAACTGAAATATTTCAGGTCTTTTATTGTTTTAATACTGGTGATTTTGGCATACAGCTCATGAAAACTCAAAATCCCTGTCTCAAAAAATTTGCATATTTCATCAGACCAATAAAAGAAAAGTGTTTTAATACCAAAAAAAGTCAACTTTCAAATAATTATGTTTAAGTTATGCACTCAATACTTGGTCAGGAATCCTGAATCAGAAATGACTGCTTCAATGTGGCATGGCACTGCTGAGGTGTCATGGAGGCCCAGGATGCTTCGATAGCAGCCTTAAGCTCATTCAGAGTGTTGGGTCTTGCGTCTCTCAACTTTCTCTTCACAATATCCCACAGATTCTCTATGGGGTTCAGGTCAGGAGAGT